ACCTTAAAAATCTGTTTTTCTTAAATTACGTATTGAGATTTCATGAATTTTTTTAAAGCTATTTCGAATTTGGAATTAAAATTTGAAACACGTTTAAATTTGGTTTTTTGTACAGTATCCTGAACTTGATATTATTAAGGAACACTAAAAGGACACTAGCACATAGTTAAAAAAAATTAGCAAAAAAAATTATAGCATATAAAGCACTAGTTTAAATATAGTAATTCAGGCACATACTTGCAGTTAATTTTTCACATGTTTTAACTAGTATACTATTTACTACGCCTACAAATTTACGAATGTTGTTGGATAATCTTAAATTCAACATTTATTTCTATATTATAATCTTTGACACATATTAGTAACAATTTTTTACCCATAACATATCAACAGCCTAATCTAAAGTTTTCTATATTGAGATCGATATGTATAAAAATTGTAAATAAATTGTTAAATTTTAAGTAAAATTTAAAAAACAAGTTCTTTAAAAGTTTTAACATGGTTTGAATAAAACGAAATGTATTATGTAATAAAACCACATTCCTTACATTATTCTACAAATTCTTGTTAAGGTTTAAGGTTAAACTTGTTATTAATGTAAAAAAAAAAAACTAAAACAAATCGCTAAATTTAAATAAATATAATGTAAATATTTTGTTGAATTTTAAATAAAACTCTAACAGAAGCAATACTTTTTAAGTTTTAATATAATATGTAATAAACCTATTCCTAACATTACTCTTGGAATCTTGGTATAAGGTGTAAAATTAATTTAATTTTCAGCTGTTATTTTAAATTAATAAACCAAACCATTTAAAATATGAAAATAGATAATAATGATGTCATTATAAAATCATTTTTCATTTGACTAGAAAGAAAAAAAAATATAAAAAAATTAAAGTTTCAAAACATAAAATAATGACTAGATTTGAACAAAAACAAAAGCAAAAATAACGATTTGGTGAAGCAAATCTAAAATAATTTTTTACTTCATTAATTAAATTGAAAAGTTTTCAAATGTTAATTTATTTTTATTCTTATAAGATAAATTTTTCTTTCTACTACCCGTTTATAAATGAGTAATGTAAACTAAATTCGTTATTTTTGGCATCAAAAATAAATTAATAAATAAATAAATAAAATAAACAGGAACATTTTAAAAATGACATATATTGCTTTGTAAATAATACCTTTCATACCTCACATCATTTTCAGCTTTTTTTAGAGCTGTTATATCAGTAAATTTGAAACGTATGATAAACAGATTCGGTGAAGGGTTAATTTCAAGTGCTTTCACAAACTTGAACATAATCAAAAGTGAGCCCAAAATAAAACTTTCTCTACTAAAAAGATTCTTTATTATTGCTATTATTACTAGTTAAATATTCTTAAACTTGTTAAATCTTAAAGTAAAAGTTAATTTGTGTCAAATTGAAATTTCTGTGGCGCAAAATTTGATATTTATGCAACATGATTTCATCAATATTTTAATTTTATAATAATTATTTTTTTTATTTATCCTCTTAAATAATTTTACAAGGGCAGTAATTAAAATTTAAGATCACTTTACTTTATAGTTATAAACAAATCGATCAGCCGATATTCATTAAATTAGCCAATATTATAAATTTATAATTGAATAAATGTAGAAACCAACAAGATTACTCAGTTAAAAAATACGTTTTCCAAAGAATTCTGAAATCCGAAAAGAAACAAATACATCTTAAAAGCTAAGGAAACAAAAAAAAATCTTACTTCCCTATATTGTATTAAGAATTAGATATTTATAATAAATATACTACAATAATAATCAAGATATTACAGTAATCAATAATTATCCCTGCTAATAATAATTACGATATTATCTTCGTGTGATATTTTATAATCGTAAGGCATGATATTCTCAATGCATTGTAAGAGTATATTTTGAAATATTATTACAGTAATATTTATTAATTATCGATAATAGAGACTAATATCGTCTGCAGACCCACGATTTTAACTGCCTAGCATGAATGGTATTTATGCCATGCTCTATGGTTTCATGGTAATATTAACAAATTTTTACCACATTTACTAAATTTTATTGCATATTATTAAACTATATTTTATGGTTAATTTTATCAAAATCATTACGAAAGCGCTTCGGTAAAAACTACCGTACTTTTTCGTGTTCTCACAGTGCCAGAAACGTAGTTAATTTTACCATTATTTTGGTAGTTTTGTCAGTAGGGATGTTGCGATTACTCAAGAAGTAAAGTAAAATCTCAGATGGTCTCCGGTTAACTGCAACCACCAGCTTTAATAATATGATTATTAAAGTTGGCATATTAACAATATAAATATTTTTACAAATTAAATATCTCCGCCCTATAATTTTTAAATTTGATATAATATTTATCTGTCCATTTTGCAAGAAAACTAATACGTATATTAATGGCTAAATATAATTTTAGCATAGAAAGAATTACATTTTGCAGCTCACTTTCGAATACAGTTTAACACTGAATCATCCATTCTAACCTCTACACATTTAGGTAAAAAGGCAAACATTAAACAAAGTTTTTTTTTTCCAACAGTATACACATGTTCTTTCTTTTATAAAATGACGTGGATTATCCGACTTCTTAAATACATATTAACATTTTTACAGAAGTTTGATTTACTAATTTCATATTCTTACAGCTTGATTGGGTAAGGCAACACTAATAATAGCTATCATCTCATAATCAGAAGTATTTGAACAATCCTAGAACGATATGCTCTTTTTTTCCTGTTGATATTGTTTTTTTAAAAAAGTACTTAAATAGAGAGAAGTACCTTAAAAAAAGAAAAAAAACAACAACATTTAAAGCTGCTTGAATGATTGAAAAACTACATCTAATGGAATAACTGATAAGCTATTTTGTATATCAACTAATCTCAAACTTTTACTTTTATTAAAAAGCTTAAACGAATTTTGAATATTTATATATATCTTAAATATTTATTATAATTTATAATATATCGTAAATCATATTTAAGAGAAAACTCATTTTTTCTCTTTAATTGAGAGCTAAAAGTGGTAAACATTGTAAGTTCCAAAAATGAAAATTTTGTAACATCGTGATAAACTGTTGTTGTGCAGATGGAACGCATTTAATATGAAAGCCTTTAATTATTCAAAAAATAACTATTGGTACGTGACGCGATTTGTGGTTTGTTGGTTTTACAAAGAAATACAATTGCACTGACTTCAGATTTCCAATCAGATGGGATTTCCGTAGAATTGGATCACCAATTCTGCACATGAATCATAAGAGTAATAACTGCATAACGGATGTTAAAAATACCTGTTCAAAAGTAACATGGATATGCAAATTACTGTTTGACTTTTTCCTCTTTTTAGTGTATGTTTCTAAATGGAAGATGAATTTGCAGCGGACAACTGTTCAAGATGCAGGGTTCCCCAAAAAATGTCCAACGATTTAATTACTCAATTAGAAGAACCACAGAAGGAGATAGAAATGTATGGTTTGATGAGGTCTAACTAGAAAAGTAGATTATTTATTTTTACCAAATTAATTGCGAGTGTATTAGTAGGTAATGGTAACTGTTTCCTCCAGTTTACTTTTCAACTTGGTGTACTTCTCAACACTGGCGTTTCACCTAAGACGTGGTTTTCCTCTTATTAATATCGTATTAATTTTACCAAACTCATTACCAAAGCGCTTCGGTAAAAATGACCGGTGTTTAAAAAGGACCGGAAATACGTTAAATTTTCCTATATCCTGATAATATTGTACCATACATTTTTTCTCAGTGTAAATTGCCTTCTGATTTTATTTGTTTGTATTTAGATCAGCTTAAATAAAAATGAATTGCTGTTTGACTAAAACAGAATTTTGGAAACAAAAGAACAACCTTTTGAGAATGCATATGAGCATTATCATTTGCCCAACTATTTTCAAAGACTTTTGGAAATACGAGCTGCTATTTTGTTACAAATGCAAAATATCTATCTGGAAATGAAAATTTAGGCAATTATTTCTTTCCAAATTAACTCCTCAAAAATGCTGCTTATGTTTGCACACTTACATTATTTACCACTTTTATCATCAACTTGAATAATATATTGAAAAACAAAGAAATCAAAGTCTGTTATGAGTATAAAGGAATACAAAACGTTTTGGTAATATTTTTCTAAGATTTCAATTACTTTTGATATTTCATTACTATGAAATCAAACAAATATTGAAATAAAAGTTCTTGTGAAAAATATGGAAAAATCATTACAATTAAAAGAAACATATGACAGAAATAACTTTGAGTCCCTCTATGACTCAATATACTGTTTTCCTATGAGTTTAATTTCTTTTATATTCCAAGTTTAAGTTTATTAAATAAGAAGCAATAAAACTAGGAATAAAAAAATGAATTAATTATTGCTATTTTTAATTCAAAATAATGCAGTTTGTCTCTAAAATTTCGACGAACAATAAAGCCTAGGGTTAAGATTTTGATAATAATCCTTCGACAGTGGTACAACATTTTAGTAACACTTACTCATTATAAATATTATAAGTTTAAGTATAGATTTAATATATTTTCTTAATCACAAAATCACGATTAAAGAATAAAACATTTTCATTAAAATTTACTAGCTTTTTTTAAACATATTATTTAAAAATGAACTAGAATAAAAATTAAATATAAGAAAAAAATCCTCGGATACGATATGTAGTTCAAAACTTAGTAAATTTTATCGAATTACAAAAAGCAAAAATTAGATAATTTTTAATGATATCTATTTAAATAGAAATTAATAAAAACTGTGTTAATCTAGGATTATTCATTATTAGGGGATAAAATCCTAAATATTTAACCCTTTTCTAACTTCTGATTTAATCAGATTTGATTAAACTATATCATAGTTACACACACACACACACACATTTTAACTATTGATAATATCTCAAGAAATTTCACAACCGTTTGAGTGAGTTACAATGGCGCACATATCACACAAAAATAAAACATTTATTTAATGAGAAATGTACAGTTTATGATATGTCGGATAACCCTTCTGATGAGAAATGTAGTTTTATTTGTCGATATTTCAAATGACTAGACATGTCTTCGATATGTAAATTATTTTCTTTCTTAACCACGGTGGGTTGCAGGATACCAGATGGGAGGAGTTCTGGGAGCTACAGTTTTGAAGATGAAAAATGGCGCAGGATATATATTTTAGAGACAGAAAGAAGAATATATGCCCTAGGCTCTCATTTACATCAATCCTGTAAATAGAAATGTCTACTTAATAAAAACTAATGACTTAAAATGAATATAGAATAATAATTTGTTTCAGAATTTAGAATGATATGGATATTCCTTGTTTTTAAAGAGAATTTATCTTAAAAAATTATCGAGCATACGTATTATTTTATTAGACGATCATTTAAGTTTTATTTATTTTTTCTGTATTTACTTTATTCTCTAAATTCTTCAGATTTGAATTGTTTCATTAAGTATTAAAAAGTTGCATGATATATTTGGAGAAAAGAATCACTATGGTTCACCCTTATTTGCATTCTTGATTGAGGAGCATCTAGAAATTTATTATAGGAATTATTATTCGGTTCCTATTTCGATAGATGTGATACATTCATTGATATTATACAACAATTTGCATTATTGATTAAGTACATTCTTCGGCGATTTATCTTTAAGAATTACAATTCGTTACCTTTTGTGGAATAGAAGTTACATTAAGGGTTAGCCTTTCGCATTCTTGTTAAAGGTGCATCATCGGAGGAATTCTTATTTGAATTTACTGTGCGTCATTATCTGTTTAGGAAAAAATAGATATTTGTAAGTTGTCATTTGCGTTACTGATACATTCCCCGGCGATTTATCACTAGGAGTTATTGTACGTTACCTTTTGTGGAATTTAAGTTACATTAATGGTTTGTCTTTAGCATTCCTGTTTAAGGCACATCATCGAGTGATAAATATTATTTGAGTTACTCGGGATTATTATTTGAATTTACTGTATGCCATCATTTGTAGAAAAAAATGGATACGTTAATAAGTTGTCATTTCGTTACTGATTAAGGAACATTCTCCGGCATTTTATCATTAAGAAGTACTGTACGTTCTTTTTGTAGATTATTAGTTGCATTAATGGTTTGTCTTTTGCATTCCTGTTTAGGGTACATCCTCGGGTGAATAATTATTTGAATTTACTGTACGTCATCATTTGTGGAAGAAATTAAGGTACGTTAATGACATCAAGGAAAAAATATACATTAATGACTTGTCACTAGCGTTCCTGGTTAAGGTAACATATCCGGCAATTTAATATTTGAACTTACTGCATATCCCATTTGTAAGGGATAAACCACATTAATAGTTCACCATTTGCACTGATTAAGGTACATTTTTTCGGGATTTATTATAAGAACTTTACATATGTCACCGTTTGTGAAAAATAAGCTGTACTCAATACTACTACTATTTTGTTATGATGCATTTCTGATTAAGGCTTAAATAATTGGAACCTAATATATTGAACCATTTGAAAAGGATATGGTACTATTTTGTTATTTACATTCTTGATTTAGATATATCTTTTGTAGATTTATAATTGGAAGTTAATGCATGGCCTAATTTGTAGAAGATAAGTTATTTGTAGATAATAAAATAAATTTTTTTTTATTAAATTGTTTTGATCTTCTCAGAACTTTTAACCGATTTTTGCTAACACACGTTTTTGTGTCAATGTTAATTTTTTGTAGATATTAGTAAAATGCAATTATCGTGCGAAAATAAAATTAAAATTTATGGGGATTAATTGCATATTAACTTTCTATTAAGATAATTTTGTGAGGTTTACTTTTATGGAAAGTTCCAATAAAGTAAAGCTGAAATTAGCAAATGCGTTTGTAATTGAATTGCACATGATCGTGCAAGGTAGCATAAGCGTAAGGTTAACATAAAACAATTATTTAAGATGCTGCATTGTAATATTTATAGTGTAATCTCACTTTCAGATTTTTTCTTTCCATATAATTTGAAGTATTGTATGGATACTGCTGAAAACTATGGAATAAAAACTTGTGACAGTAAGTTAAAAAATTACTAACAGAATACTTTTCTTGGAAAATTATTAGAGTTAAATAAAAATGCATTTTTTAATAAAGAAAAAACTATTCTTTTCCATTATTTATCCATCCTATATTATCAAATAATTTATATTTTAATACCATAAAAACATTATAGACAAATAATAATAGTTAAATGGTATAACCCTTTTTTAATTTATTCACAATTCTAGGTAATAACAAATACTATATTAATATAATAAAATTTGAAGTTACAATTTATGATATTTTTTAATTTGAATTACTATTATTTTCATTATCAAATTTTTCTTTTGTAGAAAATGTATGCTTTTCAAATCGATTTCAAAAACATTTTGAGGATAGCAATAAAACTGAGCAATGTCAATCAAAATTTAATATCCAACGATTTAAATTTATGATAGTATTTCCATTTTGAATTTATGTCGATATTTAATAATTATATATTTATTTTTAAAGTATTTTAATTAATATTTTTTAACATCTAATATTCAAATTTAAGATGTCTTAAGGTTGAAATTAACAGCGTTAAAATGGCATAATGTTTGTTGTACTGCAGCATATTTTCGAAATAAAATAATATATATTTCATTCAAATGGTTCATTCAGTTTATTCCCAGAAGTAAAGAACTTCAGTCTAATCTTAAAGTTGCAACCAAGCGTAAAGAAGCAGGAGTATCAAGAAGAAAGGGGGGAAAAAACCACATGTGTTTATTTCTAAAAGAAATTTGTTTAATTCCCAGAGAGCTATACTTCAAAAATCTAATTATAATGAAGTCCTTAATTACCTCACAATGCTTAAAAGAAATCAAAGAAACAAAAGCGGTTATTCAACTCTTCTCCTTCACTTTTTTATATTTTTTTTCCTTTTTAGTTAAAGTATTTTTTTTCCTGGCATTAAAACAATGTTGATGCTTGTTGCAGAGTGCGTTATTCCGTTAGTATAGTGAATATTTTAATGTGTCATCACTATGGTAATCATCTTTTTCTCTTTAAGTTTGCCCTTTAGGTTCTTTTATTCGATTGTTTATCTCGTTGCCATTCTCAAAAGATAAATTTCTGCGAATTGCTTAATTAATAGTTAGAATTTTAAGTTGTGAGGTCGTGATGTGATAAAAGATATGTGAAGGTTTAAAACTAATAAAAAATATTTTTGCATAGCTTCTAATAATAAGCTATGGGAATAAGGCTATAAGGTAATATTCTTAGAGGTTTTCTTATCGAAAATTCTTAGCATATTCCCATACAGAATCAAATAGTTCTAAGAATTTCACAATAATTACCAGTGCATGCTTTACTATAATTACACTTTACTTATAATTTACTAATAATTACCGAATCTTTTTAACTAAACTTTTCATGTTGGTTACTTTGTGGTCGTGGCTATTAAGTATCTCAAATTTTATTAATTATCTTCTAACAAAACGGTGATGCATTTTGGAAGACTTTAAAAGTGTTTTGAACTTATATTCATACAAATAGAACTACGTAAGAGTGGATTTAAGATATGTCTAAAATTAAATCTGTTAATGCTGCGAAAAATATTAAAAGTTTGAAACTTAAAATTATTAAAATATTTGATAAGTTCGCATGAGCTTGAATTTTATTGAAAGAGATTCGGCACAAAATAAATAAATGAAAAATATTTCATGCATGCAAGGGAAAGTTTGATTATGAGCATAAGAATGTACATAAAATCATGCGATGCAATGTTTTTACAATTTCATATAACTGAATTAATTTTAATAATTATCAACATTAAAAATTAAAATGAAACTTATTTTCAACATTAATAAAGTTCCTTAATGTATCTAAAGATGGAATAGTTAAAATGCCTTAATTTTTATCGATTTCTTAAATGTTTTAGATTTTTACATTAGCAGCAATTGAGAGAAAATTCCCAATTTTTTACTTCCTATAAATTTTTTTTCTTTGATATGTAACGTAATTTATAACACAATTTAGTTAATTCTGAGCGATTAAAACAATCGAAAAACTTCTTTTAAGAAATATGTCACTAAAAAAAAAAAAAAAATTCTAAAAAACTGAAATTACCGTTTTTGATCTTTATATTTTCATCTTTTTTCTTCTTGTTGCTGAAACGAAAGTTATTGAAATACATTAAATATGCTACACTTAAAATATTATATTCATATGGTGAGATAATAAATGATTATGAGAATTGAGAATAATTCAAAAACAAGTATAATGAGAGCACATGGACAATGTAAAAGCAAGAAATATAACAAATATTCAATGATCTAAAGAACATTACTAAAAAATACGAAATTCATTTAAAATCAACTCATAATTCTGTAATTATGAACTAAAATAAGAATATTTTGAATTTGTGACCCAGAAGCTAAACCAACTAACCGATTGCAATTTGATTAGCAATTATTTTTTGATAATTTTAGTTCATGTTGTTGTTATTGTTTCTAATGGCACTTGCCAATCCAGGAAGCCTGCTGCTTGGTGAAACCAAACGTATTTAAGTCAAAAGATGCATTTTTTATTTTTCAGTGGCTCCATCTTCAGTCAAAAGTTTAGTTTATTTAAGAATGTTTTACACAAAATAGTTCACAGCAGTTAAGTTTCCGGTCTCAATAAAATAATTAAGCAAAATAATAGTTTTTCAAATAGTCTAAAAAGTTTTTTTTTTAATTGGAATAATGGGTACTCTCCACTTACTAAAGCGGTATTATGAGCATAACTTTTATGTTCATTGTGACATTAAGTCACAGCCTAATTTTTAAATATCCTATTTTTTTTAATCAAAATCCTTATTTTTCGGCTAAATTTATAATTTTTGATACAATTTTTTTATTTCTTCATCCTTTTCTTCTCGCCCCTTAACGCGTTAGCGCAATGAGGAAATTTTCCCCTGAAAGTTCCTTACACATTCCTCAGACACTCCTTTTCTCGGAAAAAGCTGTCGGCGTCGTTTGATGTTGCACGAGAATTTGAAGTCGGCTGAAACTTAGCTTTGCAACGTCAATCAGAAGGTGAGAATAACACTTAAAAATAATATTGATAATACATCTCAACTTAAAATTTTAGTTCTTTAACTCATACTTTCAGTACCTTGAGTACTCAACTCGGATTTTTTCCTTTTTGCTATAAAAGCCAGAGCGCGGGAGACGCTCGTGGCATTCGAATCTTTTCATCACCCCAACGTCACGCTGCTCCCTGGCAGGACGTTTTTTTTTCCCCCTTCCTCTTCTTCTAGAGGAAGAGAACATTTTTTTGGTATGGCGCCACGCCTACCGCCATGTTGGCAAGTCAATCTGCCGTGTTTTTTTTTCTCTGATTTAATGTCTACTAAGTAAATTTCTGATCGTGCATCTCCTGCTTTTAATATGATTATCTGGGACTTATGACAAAATAAAGGAAATAGGCTGCCATCAACATGTTGGATATCTATGGAACGCATCCGCTGACCAGACGCCGTCATAGTTTAGATCTACAAATCATGAGTTTTTTTTATCGTCGGTGAAGTTCAGTACCCACAACCCCTCTCTGATGTTTTCTTGGCAAGAGATCTGATTCTCATCATCAACTCCGTGAGTTTTATTTGGCCTGCCTTATAAATCCAGAAACTCTCTGTTACTCCAAAATACCACTCTCTCCATCTGAAGTTTTTGCCCATGTGAATTATGCTTGTCTGTGGTCGTCATTGATCTAATGTAAAAATAAAAGAAAACGAACTTCCATCTTAGTGACTCATTTTTAGTGTTAGTGTTTTTTCAGTTTGGATTGGAAAATGTCGCCATACTCTCCTTGTCAGCTACCTAATAGGTATGTGTTTTTTTTTTTGGTTTTAATTTGTGCTAAACAACGTCTATTTATATGTACTTTCCATTAGAAGATCAGAGGCCTTATATTACAGCTTCCTTTTTTTATTTAATACCCAACCGAAACGGGGCATTCATAAAAGTCTCAACTCTCTTATTTTCAAATCAATACGATGCCAAGTTGACAAAAAGGTATCACCAGTAGTTATACATAATAGAAAAATGATATTTTCATTAGCATCTCAGATTTTAACAAGCCTTAATTCCATTATGGCAGTCTTTTTTTTTCCTGCAAAGTGTTTCAATATGACCACAAAATTGTTCCAAGTAAAGTGAATTTTTTATTGGTACTAAAATTTAAACTCAATCATATGTTGCACTTGTGCAACAATACGCATTGTCAATGTAATCACAAGTTTTGCCACCAGATTTGCATCTTTTAAAGTTCCAACTCAGTTTGACAAAAATGTAGCCGAAGCTCAGTGATTCAATGCTTAAAATACGCCTTCAAAGCTTGGGTGGTTGTTGGTAAACACGAACACACGATTTCAGCAAGTCCCAGAACTCAAAAAGAGTTAAGTCACGTGACCCAGATGATCAATTCAAGTCGCTTAAACCATAAATTACACAGAAAGGAAATCAAAGAAGAGAAATAAAAATAAAGAAATAATAATCCCCAAACTTGTATTAAAAAGGAAATATTTGCTAGATATGCTGTTACATCCACAACAATATATCTACTCTATAATAATATACAAACTTTTTTATTAAATTAAATAAGTAGCATTTTGATTGGAATTTAAATTTTGCCATCTTGTAAAAAAAATGAACATATTGTGCACCATACAATATTATTTAAAGTCCTTTTGTGCATACATCTTCAAGTCGAAGAATTACACTCTCAAGTCCTATTGCACAACTTCAAGTCCCGAATATTGTATCATCAAATATTATTATATAAGCTGTACAATAGGACTTGGACTTTTAACATAAGGATTACATCTTTTTTAATAAAAAAGGGCTTTATTTGAATAGTGGGCCAACTAAAAAAAAGCTGTTTGCCCTACTTTAATATTCAAATCTAGTACACCTTTATCTTATTTCTGGTGCCAAACAGAAGGCTCAGAGTCAGACAAGACAAGAAAAGACTCGAATTCTCATAAGACTTTTAGGTTCTGTACCTTAAAATGGATATAAATTGAATTGACATACTATTCGAATCAGGCTTCCAAAAGTAACTGATATGTTTAGTTATTTACATCAAAATTTAAATTACCTCTTTATTTTCTGATGTTTCAGAGGGGGATGACTTTTCACCATATTTCTCTGTGAGACTAGAAAAGTTTTTGAGAGGAGATAGTTCATTAATAGTCTCTTTTAGTTCCCTTCTTCTCCTTCCTTGACTTTGAGATGAAGTACTATTAGAACATGATGGGAAATTTGGTTTGTTGTACGATGGAATGTCATCTAAAAAGTGTATTGAAACAAATTGGCTTTATTATAAATAGAAAAAGGTATTCATGCAAAATAGAGGTCATTTTTCATTATATGGATGGTATCGTTATATGGATGGTCATAAGTGAAGTATAATTAATCATGGTAAAAGTATGTTTGCATTTTGGTCTCCAGTGGGCGAAACTGCATTGTTTAGAATATAATTCAAGCAGATTGCCGGGAAAAAAAGCAAGCACCTAAATAATTTTTGATTTAATGATCGGATTTGCTCGTACAATGTACTCAATTTTAATGATTCGAGGGGTTGACTTGCTATTAATTAGTATGCTAATTAATTAGTTTACTAATTTATAGCAAGTCAATCCTTAATTAATTATGCTAATTAATTTGTGCAAAGAAACGTGCGGGTGATGAAGTTAAGAGACCAAACAGAAAGCGAACTTACTCTGGATAAACATAATTTTTTTTTTCTCGATAGATTTCGAGTTTTGACAATTAAAAATGGAGGGGCCGGGATAGCCTGGTCGGTAGGGCGCTGGGCCCATATCCAAGAGATCGTCTCGCCGGCCGAAGACTCCCCGTGTAGTAAATGGTGACTGATGCACGTTAAGTCTGCCGAGTCTCAAAGTCCTCCATGTTCCCACAACAAATCAATACCTCTGGGGGTACTGACCCAGGAGTTTCCTTGTCTTCTGGATTGGTTCGAAATTACAAGGCTACGGAAATGAACATTAGTAGTCGTAAGCCCATAAAATTGGGTAGGCTGTTCAACGATGGTTATAAAATAAAATTAAAATGGAGGGGCCGCGATGTCTCAGGGGATAGAGCGTTCGCCTTCTAATGCAGTGAACCGGGTTCGAATACCAATCGATAAGAATTCCGCATCCGGTTTGCACCGACGACAGTGCTGACGTGAAATATCCTTAGTGGTAGACGGATCATGGGTTAGAGTCCCCTTGCTTACATACTAACCGTGGGAGGTTCTCGTGGTCTTCATCTCCACGTAACGCAAATACCGGTTAGCTCCATCAAAAAGTCCACCACGAAGGCAAATTTCTCTCAATACTCGATCCAGGAGCTACCTTGTCTTCTGGATTAGGTTCAAAATTGCAAGGCTACGGAGTTGAACATTAGTAGTCGTAAGCCCATAAAATTGGGTCAGCTGTTCAACGATGGTTATAAAATAAAATTAAAAATCGAGGGTGCCGTAGTGGCTCAGAGGATAGAGCTTTCACCATCAGATGAGATGAACCGGGTTCGAATCCCAGCAATGCCTGGTCGATACGAATTCCGCACCCGGCTCGCACTGGCTAAAGTGCGAGACGGTAATAGCGAATACAAAGGTGCACTGACCAATTCTGTTCAACGACGGTTATAAAATTAAAATAGGAGGTAGTGTCAACCTGGAAAATATGTTCGTAAAGTTTTGGCAGCAGAACGGTCGAAAGTTTGTATCATTTCATGACGTATCAAGTATCTTATATTTTAGTAAATTTTCTTTTGCGTATTTCGCTAAATCTTCTGGACTATTTAAGAAGCTTGTAAAATTTTTGAACGAAGTTACATAACTCATAATCCGTTTATTCTATGTAACAAAATTTATTTAAAATGATAATTTTTTTTGTTTTTCAATTTATCAATGGTTAAAAAGATTTAAAATTATAAAGTTTACAAATTTTTACCGTAGTTTCTTAAGCATAATTTTAAATGACAAAAATCTAAAATTCAAAGGAAATCGTTCAAATAACTTTTGAGAAATAAAAATCTAAAAATTCGATTTGTTTGTGATGGCGAAATACGCAAGAAAAGAAATTAAAATGAAATGTATGCAATTTGAACCCCTTCTTTGCCTAAAATATTAGGATCATATTTTTCCAATTGCGGCAATTAACCCCCGATTTTGTGGGTTAAATCCGTCTGAAAAAAGCAAATTTATTCAGAAAAAAAAAACTTTTTTTCTGCCAGCTTTCGTTACTAAAAACAACGTCTGCGTTAATTAATTAGCATAATTATCCTTAGGTCCTCGAATTAATCTCTACAAAATACAGATAAAGGAGCATAGTTATATTGACTATATACTGAATCTTTTTCACTTCCAATTGTTCATGTGTTTGCGTATTTTCTTACATCATCGGGACTATTTAAGAGACTCAAAAATTTTTTGAACGGAACTATCTAACCTATTAATGTAAAAATAATTTATATTGATAAACTATTTTTTTTTCAATTTAACAATGGACGAAAAGATTTGGAATTGTAAGGTATGCATTTTTTACAATAATTTATTTATCATAATTTTAAAGGATAAAATTAGAAATTCAAAGGGATTCGGCCGAATAACTTTTGAGAAATAAAAATTTAGAAAAGCGATGACAACTGGGCTCAAGAAGGAAAATTAGCATGAAATGTTGGAACTTTGAACGGCTTTTTTTCTTAAACTGTTGGGGACACATTTTCAAAATTGCGGCTAACTCCCCCCAATTTTGAGGGATAAACGCACCAAAAAAATGTAAGTTTATTAAGAGAAAAATACGTTTTTATGTCTGCTTTCGTAACATAAAATATCGTCTGCACTAATTAATAAGAATATTTAATGTTAGGTCCTGAGATTTTGCAAATTTACGTTAGCTTCCATACGTAAAGTTAAGTAATTGCGCATGGGCCCGAGAAAAAATATCAAACGTACGTGAGGGAAAATGAGAGGTTCTGCAAAAATATATAAGTTAAAAACGCTAACACAGTGGAATATCATTTTAACTTTGACCACAGAATCAAAACAGACATTTACAATTTACGTAGACGATCTATGCATACGACTGTGGCGTACGACTCAAGATGCTTTTCTCTACGTAAAACTGCTGTTCTGTAAGCAGAAAAAATTGGTGGAATTTGATAAAGAATGCAGCTTATTATTCAGATTTGTGGTCGATGATTGAAGAAATTTAGTTTAAGCATGAGGTCCACAAATAACCATAACTTACAGTAGTTGGCTTTAAACTACACAGGTAAGTTAGTAGTAATCTAGCGTGATTCATTTCTAAATTTCATTTATACATTTCTTCAAATTCGCATTCTGTGTCCATGTTTTTAGTTTGAAGGTTGGCTTCAACAGAAGCAACATTTAACAGCAATAAACAACGTGCTTGTAACTTTGTCTTTGTAGCGTTAGCGAACATGCGACGTTGATTCAAATCTTACATACGGAAATTAACATAAAAGTGCGAAATCTGCCTAATATCTACAAAATACAGAAAGTACTCATACTTACATAGTACACGGAATATTTTTAGAAAGTATTTTTCTGAATATAACTTTATGTAAATATGTAAGTGGTACGAGTGTTATGATTCTATCTTGTATTTTTGTTGTAAATAAAAAGCTTTAATAATATCTTCAAATTTCATGTAAAAACTCGTTGTTATTTATATTTTTTTAGTTCTTGATTATGTGTGTCTATAATTCTAAGCTAAAATACATACAGCATTTTTATTTAAAGGGATACTTTAGAGACTAAGTGTAAAAAGCAATGCAACTTTATAATATTAGCATGTAACTTAAACAAAATAAATACTTGAAGAACAACATCTGAAAATATCATGTTTATGAAAATGTCAAATATTAAACTGATATCTTGTTAACAAGTCGAAACAAATTCGAAATAATTATTGAAGATTTTTTGTCCCTTAAATAAGTGTAAACTGCGTCAGTGACTAATAACGAAAAAAATTTATCATAGTTATTGGAACATTATATTTAACTATTGCATTTCATATTTTCCGCACACATTTTACAACTTTTTTTTACATTCCATTCAGCTATTATTTGTAATGTAGTATATCATTGACTCAAGAATGTGAAAAAAATACGTAAACTGAATTGATTGTTCTAACCTTGAAAGGATAAATATTTTAATAACAAGAAAATAAACTTTCATTTTGTTGATTTATCTCAAGTTTGCATTCTAAAACATACAGCAAACATGTATTTATTTTATTTCACGAACTCTAATTACATTCTACCATCCACACTTCATTTCATTAAATAGGAATTGAAAAAGAAGAAAAAAGAGGAGAAAAAACAAGAAGAACAAGTTCCATTCAAAGAACATCTGTAGAGCCACCTGCTATCAAAGCAATCGTTCGAATCGAAGAAACAAATTCACGCTTTGTTTACCATCTGCCTTATCCCTTTTCTATGCTGTAACGTATTTTCAAAAGATAATTTACTCTCGTGTTTCAAGAAAAAAGAAGAAAAGAAACAGATTCATTATCCGCCATTTTAAAATCAAATTTAATACCATTCGGTGTCTTCTCCTTCGCTTCAGTTTCTTTCCATTTTTGTTTGGATTGGGCAGCGGATCTGGAAGGCACTGTTCCTGTGTTATTACCTTCATTACTGTAAGAACTGGGCGGTCTTGAACTTCGGTTTCGTAGCGTTGTCTGTGCCCTACCTGTATGCAAGAGTTGATTCGATTAATAATTTTTTTTTTAAAGTTTTAATATTATTGTTCCTCAACACATGAAATAGCAAGTAGGAAAGTAGCTTATATAGAGTATTTATACCACTTACATTGAACACCTTACATTATAGCTTTTGAACAGAGAGAACGTTTTGATGCGTATCAACAAATATATACTATGAGCAGCTTATACTTTCAGGAAGTTAATAGGTCTTAAAGTTCAGATTAGAAAAGGAAAAAAGCTCTATGAGGATTTTGTTAGTTTTGAATAGCAACAGATAAAAGCTCCATAAGTATTTTTGTTGGAGAAAAAAAAAACTCCGATATAAGCATTATAATAAAAAAAGTTAAGCTAATAAATGTGAACAAAAATTATAATAAATACCTGCATCTGTAAAATGAATACAGGGCATTATTTTTAATTTCTTAAGAAAATAAATAAGTTGCTGAATAATGCAAACAAGATATACTTATTGCAAAATAATTTATTTAAAATTTAAATTTAAGTGCATTCTGCTATCAATGAAATTAAAAAGAAAACATTACGATTTTTTGTTAAGGAATTCAGATTTAAAAACAATCCTGCAGTACTTTATTAGATTAATTTTGTATTATTATTCTTTGTGCTAAATTGGTTCATAATGCTGAATGCTCGTCTGAGAAATGGGAATCTCAGCCAAAAGTAACTGACAGGAAGTTTCGTACTCATGGCCCTTAAAATTTTTCCCCCCTTTATTAGAAACGAAGTCTTCAAAAATTACACATTAGGGCTTCTCAAATTAAAGTTTAAAAAAATTGAAACAGAAAAAGAAAAGAAAATTGTAAAATTTGGCGGATTATTATCGAGAAGAATCACAGAGAAGAAAAAATCAGTTTATGCATCTAATGGAAATCCAAAGAGAAAAAAGAATAAAATGATGACATATTTCGAAGTATGGCAAATTTATATGACATAATCCTAGATCGCTATAACAATTTGCAAATTTCGATCTAGATAACAAATTTCAGATTGATATTAATAAACAAAACTTAAATAACACTGCGGTTTAGTAATTTTTCGTTAATCATATCTGGAGAAAATGTTAGTTATTCGCATGACATGTTTCTAGAAAATAAAAATGACCTTAAACTAGCTAACAGAATTTGCGGAGTGAATCTGCAGTTTTATCTTCATAAATTCCAGCTTGTGTGCCATCGCAACGCAGTCAGACAGATGTTATTATTATGGAAATCTTGCTTAATCTAACATACAGGTAGCAAAATTTTCAAATATAAGATCCCTATAAAAAACTTTGTATTTTTTAAATGTGCTTTGAATTTTATACGATTCTAAAAATATAGAATAAGTTAAGCATGTAATCAGGTTAACAGATGCGCCTGTAATCATGTAATAGGAGAACAATTCTTTACGGCGCTCTCTCATTTCAGCGTTTCAGTTTTTAGTATTTTAAAAAGGAGTTTCAGCAATATTTTGATATTTATCTGCTTCTTTTTTTTTTTTTTTTTACTTTAGCTCAAATGAAAAATAAATCTGCAGATGCTGTAATAATCAGCAGCAACCGCTGCCATACTAGAAGAATTCTGCTATTGGGGCCGCAAATAATATGAGCAAAACTTATACTTTTATTGTTATAAAAATACATTACCAGCGTTATATTCTGCAATGAAGAAATTGTTGCTGTATTCATTCGTGCATGGTCGAACATTTTGATTATCTTCAACAAAAAATGCGTTGCCAGTTGGAACTACTCCTTGATCAGTGAGGCTTGTGCGATGCATGTAAAGATCTGAAGAGAAAAAAGAGATTTTGATTCTTTATATTCCAGAAATACTTATTCAATTACTTTCACTAATGTATTGTTTATGAATTTGTATAATTTAAGATGCATCACAAAATCTCCATGTTACCTACAAATACATTCTGTAATATTATCACTTTTTTCAGTTCTGTAGCTCTTCGTCAAATTTTGTTTGTCCTCGTTTAAATATTTAATTGCGATCCCTAATATGCATGTTTTTTATTTCGCTTTTGATAAGGAATTTAAAATCATGCATTGAGATTAGCTTTCACTAAACACCCTTCGTGTCAAGGTTCAATTACCCTAAGGTGTCTATTACCCATACACGAGTAATCCGCAGTAATAGGCTGGGAAGGCTGGGCCATCTATGGAGAAGCCCTGAAAATAGCGCCATGAGAATCGTCAACTTTAAGAAACCCAAGGGGTCACGTCCCAGAGGTAGACCCCTACTAGATGGCTCAACGATATCGAAAATGACATAAAAACCTTAAAGATTAGAAATTAGGAGCTGCGGAGATAGGAGGCGTTGGCGTTTGTCAGCTGTTGAGGCAGCTAAGGCCAGCAAGGGCCTGTAGCTCTGTCAAAGAAGAAGTCTATTACCTTTAATAAAATAATTGCTTATCTTTTTATCTTGTGAACACATATAAAGTTATATATCTAAAATGACTTTTCAGAATAATCTTACTGTTTAATTCAATATCTTCTCCATTTTCTGCCGACTGTGTTGGGTCTTGCAGGGCAGCGATGCCAGTGTAGATCTGATGTACATCACCTCCGCTAGTACTTGATTTGAGGAAGAAAGGAAAAGGGAAACCTGGGAATATAAAAAATAAAAATACAACTTACTTATTCTTGCCTGTAATTATTGATAAATTTTTAAATATAAATGAAAAAAAAAAAGATTCACACTACTTTTTTTTAGATTTTACATTTTACTACAAATTTAATTCCAATAATTTAACATATTTTTTTCATAACTATTAGATTGTTTTTTTTTTAGAATGAAAAAATACCAAATTATATTTTTGCTTGTAATTATTGATAAATTTTTGGAATATAAATGAAATAAAAAATTCGAACTACCTTTTTTGGAGTTTACATTTTAGTACGAATTTAATTCCAGAAATTTAACTGATTTTTTTTATAACTATTAGACTGTTTTTCATAATTAAAATACTAAAATATATTCTTACTCGTAATTAGGGCTTCAGAAAAAAAAATGTAGAAAAGGGCCTACGTAACTCGTGTCCTATCGGCGTCAAAGGGATAAGAAGGAATCGAAAATATTCATTGTTGGTATAGACAGTTACTTGAGGGATAAATAAATAATTAAATGGAAAATATCTTTTTAACTTTTATTAACTTTACACTGGTGACAATGTAATGAAATTTAAATCTTTTTTAGTAATTAAAGAACCTTATTTTTTTTAATTAGCCAATAACACTGCGCAGTCAATACTGAGAAACGGTTTCTGACCATTATGTTTTATAATTTCAATAAAATGCTTTTTTTAAATGCATTTATATTTTAATATTCTTATGGTCAGATTACTTTAAAACTAAAATAAAAGTTGCTTTAAATTAAGCACTTGATTAATAATTATCTACTACACAACGTTATTGCACCAAAGAGAAGAGTTTGAAGTGGTGCATATTTACCCGTGTTTGTGATGACACCATTCTGGCTGATTCTCCTGGCCATTGCTGGAAACTGATCTCCCCGGAGAGATGTTAAAGATCCTTGAAACACTCTCTCACCTCCCATTCCTTGGGGTAAAGTGCGTTGGGGCATGAGTCCAGGATGACCCTTTATTCCGAAGATCGAGCTCCCATTGCAAACGTCATTATCGACGTTTCGTCCCAACGTGCTCCACGGAGAAGTGGTATTTAAAGGCTTCGTGTTGAAGTTCCCTTGATAACTCTGAAACGGGAATTATGCATTAGATAAAGCCAATATTTCGAATATATTTTGCCTAAATAGACAATAATTACAGCTGTGATAAAACAGATCGAATGCTGGCAATGAATAGAGTGCCTAACGTGATTACAGAACTACAACATACGGGTAATAATGTGTAATTAGCTGAGATATCGGTGTGATAAAATTTATTGAAAAAAAACGAAAAAAATACTTTCCCCAAGATTAAAAGAGAAATTATTAATAAGGTACATTTTTCTCGGTGGAATCTCAAAATTATAGGTATGTAATCTTTTTCCTTGCTTCTAAAATTAATCTCAACATCAAAAATATACGTCATATATCTACATTATGCATCATACATCATATATATATATATATATATATATGTTACCGGCAAAGTTTGAAATCTGTCATTCTATAGAATTCCTAGGCATTGCATACAATGCCTAAAACTAGCCAGCAATGTATGAAACGATTTATATTTCACACATTTCATAGGCATTCCATAGAATGCCAAATGAGAAACAGGCAAAGTATAAAATCTTCTGTGGCCATGTTAGTAAAGGTGATGAAATGGATATTTTGTGCAATATTTGTTTCTAAACTGAAAATAATTGTGAATTTTTGATGTGAACATTTTGTTTCCCATAATAAGAAAGACATAAATTATGTTTTGTACAACTTTCATTTTTCATCTTTTCATTTTGAATAAATTTTTTTTCTCTCCTTATTGTTTCGGAATAACATTCTTAGTTTTGAGAAATGAACATTATTTACATAATAACCTCATCAGTATGTTCTCTTCATACTTTGCCTAAATAGCATTTGTCATTCTATAGAATGCCTAGGTATTTTATACAAGGCCTAGGGAAAGTATGTAATACTTCTCACACTTCATACTTTGCCTAAAAACATCCGGCATTCTATACAATGCCTAGGCATTCTATACAATGCCGGCATTTCATACTTTGCCGGTAACATATACATCATATATCTACAGCAATAATCGGTTAGACCGAATGTTGACAATGTATAAAGCTCCTGTATTTATGTAAATATAGACATACGGGTAATTATCTGTAATTGGTTGAAAGCTGAAATAAGTTGAAAAGAAACGAAGCAATTCGTTGTGTGTATATGCAAGATATATATTTACCCGGCGTAATCTCAAAATTATAGGTATGTAATCTTTTTTCTTGCTTTAAAAAATTATCTTAACTACAAATAATATTCAGTACTAATCAGATAGACGGAAAGTTGACAATGTATAGAGTTCTTGTATTTAATGTAATTAAAGCTTTATGATATACCGGTAACAATTTGTAATTGGCTGAGAGCTAAAATTTATTGAAAAGAAGAGAAGAAAAATTTCCTCATCGGCTATACGATAAGTCATTGGCAAAGTACATTTATCCGGTGGATTTTCAAAATCATGGCTTTGCAATCTTTCTTCTTGTTTTAAAAATAATCTTAACTGCATCAATAATTCACAGCATACATCTTATTTACAGCAATAATTGGATAGACCGAATGTTGACAATGTATAGAGATCCAGTATATCATTTAATTAAATATTTCAGATACACGGATAACAATGAGTGATTGGTTAAAAGCTAAAATTTATTGAAAGAGAAAGGAAGCTAAAATTTCTTCTTCGACTGTACGTGAAATCATTGACTAGCTTGAATCTCAAAATTATGTAATCTATTTTCTTGCTTTAAAAATTAAACACAACTAATCAAAGTTTCCAATGTGTTGAACTCTTTTTAAATATTTATATATTTCGTGAAATAACTAGACTTTAAAAGCTAGATACCGATACTTGTTCTTTTTATCAAATAATTTATTATATTATGCTATATTAGCATTAAATTATTTTTCTCTTTTTTAGTTTTCATGTCCTAAGCACTTTTCCTGACAAAAAACTTTGCAAATTAACTGAAAAAATAAAGTTATATTTTTGTATTTGATGAGCTGAATAAAGTTCATCAATAATTTATAGAACTTTGGTATGTTACGCATGTTCTTTGGCTGATAAAATAACGAAAAAAACATAGCTGGATATAGTTAATACGAAGTTTGAAAGAATCTTTAAATGTGGTAAGCAACTTTGCTATTTTTCACTCTCGGAACACTTTGGAATTGCTTGTCTTAACTTTTTATCTTCATAAAATGACTCAAAAAATGTATTCAAGGTGAAATTTTAAAGTTTGCGCAATTGTCACCGCACGCGACTCTAAAAAGTTAGTACTTTACACTGGGAGAAGGTCAATATTTTAAAGTTTCAATTATGATGGTTTTTATTCGGTTGCATTTTTACATTCTACTTTTACAACTTATACAAAAATGTGAAATAATATTGAATATCTGTTTAATAGACATGATAATACACGAAGGAAAATATTCTGGTAAAATTATCGTATAGTATGGTGCTGACGTTTCTGGTAAGAAAAAAAATCAAATTCTGGTTAATAAATATAAATAATTTAGTTTTTATTACCACACATTAAGAAAAAAATAGAAAACTGAAAAGTAAATTTAATCGAATAAAATATTTTTCTGCCATGCACCATTTATCATGATAAAATAAACAAATTTTATAACATTTACTAAAATCATTACCAAAGCCTTTCACTAAAAATTATTGAGCTGTTTAATGCTCCCATAGAGCCAGAAACACAGTAAATTTTATCACATTTTGGTAGTTTTGACGACACTTTTTTCTCTGTAAAATTATTCCTCCCAATTATTCAAAAAAATTTTTTCTTCTGTCAACTAGTATATTATAACTAGTATAAAACTAGTATAAACTAGTATATTAACAGATAAATTTTAGACCAAACGTTATGATTCAAGTTAAATTTTAACTATTGACAAAAAATCAATGGTAGTGTCATCAAAATGATGTAAAATTCACAGTTATATAACGCATATAAGTGGCTTATGGCTCGAGAGGAGCGTGAGGAAGTAATACAGCACGTAACGGAGCATTGGGATGAGTTTCCTATCTTATCTAGGGACAATGATGTAAATAAGTTTAATACTTCTGCTGTCTACTATGCTGAAATGTTCCACACTGTGGTCTGTGTAATTTAATGGCTGAAAAGCAGATTTTAAATTATTACTAAAATTCAATACCTAGAAAACTTTTATAATATAGCGGACATCTTTTAAAACTAGCTAAAATTGAAATATAATTACTTCCACACGAGCTGTGGGCAATGGCTATTTGAAATTAAATGGTTGAAATGACTACACAGAAAAAGTCTTAAGAACTTGCAACAATCGTCTGTATTTTCGAAAAGATAAAGCAATTGAGGATCATGAAACAATGCCGATACATATCATTTTGAGAACGACTTACTTGGGCTTGGTAGGCGCACTTTACAGGCGACAAATTTCTTCCTCCAGGTGGTACTCCGGGAATAGAGGTGAGATCAATTGGAGGATTTTCTGGTGGAGGAGGTATGAAATCTACCCAATTCATTGCTGGAGAAGCTTTTGATGTCCCTGGAAGAAATTTGTTCTTCATTTGCCTTCCTTGGTAACCACACTCTTCTGTAAAAGACGTCAATATTTTATTGATGTTCTACATTATAAATAAATTTACCAGGAAAAAATTCACCTCTAGAGAAAAGTATCATTTAGCGAGAGGGTTTGAGATGTTATGAGGGTTCGTTTAACTGAGTTCCATTGACTTAAATTGTTCCTTTTATTCTTCTGAATAACCGCATCCTATCTTTCAGTTAACACCTTTGTGCTGCTATTAATATGTAATAAATATTGTTGTTTAATAAGTAACTACAATATTGCTTAATAAGTAAGTGGTGTTTAATGTAGTAACATGATTAGCATTGTTGTTCAGGAGGACAATTAGAAAAATTCACGTGGCTTAAGGAATGTTATGAATTCTCACACATACATCTTGATTGGCTAAGAAAATTACCTGACTTGAACCCCATAGAAACTGCGCGGACTTGTTGGAACAGAGGGTAAAACACTGAAATCAGTATCCCCAAAACTTGGTGCATTTACGCTATAAAATCTTCAGCAAATTGCAGGAATTGAATGCAAAATTCAATTCTTAGCCAAATGCAGAAGGTTGTAAAGACTAGAGGACGAAGTATCGATATTGAATTATGCTTTTCAGGATTTTTTTCTGTCCGATGTAAGGATTTGAACCTTAAAGCCTACAAATTAAATTAAAATTCTATGCAATTTCTTAAATACGAAAACAGGTAACGGTAAATAGTTCAAGTTATAGCCGATTAAAACATGCATTCTTTTGTGAATTTAAAATTAGTTCTATTTTAAAAATATAATCTATGCTATAAAACAGAAAAGTTAAAACCCAATAACATGCAATGAAAGCGGTTAGTTAGTTAGTAGAATACTAGTTGACTTACTGTAGAAAATTAGAAACTTAAAACGTGCGTTGCACTCTTAAATTAACACGAAACTAACATTCATGAATTATTTAATACAAAATGAACGCTCTTTATAGTATTTAATTGAGAATATAGACAGATAAATGAGAATAGAGACTGGAAAAAAATAAACATGCATGGCGCCCTCCTACCTTAATGAATGCTACAATTGCTAAATGGTGATAATTGCTGCGCAATCGATATCATTTCTCGGTGTAAAATATAATGATTAAAACTATAAACTTGGTAATTAAAATTTGAGTGAAAATAACAGATTATTGAAGTTAAATAGTAATTTAAATTGAAAGATAATCTAGTTAATTTTTTTGAAAATAGTAAAAGGGCTTTTTCTACGTAAATTACTATTACAATATACTATTAAAGTTATATTTTTGTTATATTTTGAATTTAAAAAGAAAGTTTTAAGAGATAATTTTATTAGTTACCCATAAGTAGTGATTATTATCATACTTAATCTATCCATACTTTTAATGTGAATATAAAGTTTATCGTAATCATTTTCATTTAGCAATTAGAGTAATTGTTAACTATCATAATCATCAAAATGGATCATTTTAAAGGATATCACAGAATTTAACAAATAGTATTGAAAACCTTTTAAATTATTTTGGAAGTTGTAGTTTTGTGCATTTATTTATAAATAACTTCTCCTTTAAATTAAAATAAATACTAAACTTGCAATCAAAAATAGACATTAATACAAATGCAACTTATATAAGGCTATACTTTTACATATGTCTACTTTTATTCAACGTTTATATTGATTCAGATTTAACCCTAGATTCGTGTTACTTAACACTTCTCGACTCTTAGTTGCATATTCGTATTAAGATATCATTCACTGTCCTAGTTAAGTAGGTCACCTGGACCTAATGATCCATAAATTATCTATAAGTTACTAATGATGCGGCTTAGCCACAGAGAAATGATCGTTTTATTATTCAAATTAATTATTTGGTATTCATCTTCACTACGTACTCACCATTAGAATAATTGACAGAGTTACATGGTTGTCCCTTACTGAGGAAATGTTCAAACACATCATCTGTAAGGAATAATTGAATATGATGAGGTTAAGTACAGTTAGTTATCATAATATATGACTTATGAAAAAAAAAGAAAATGGTATGAGTTGGTTTGAATCTCTCTAATTTGAAACATTTTAAGTTTTATTTATTTTAGAGCTAGAAAAATCGTCTGAATATATCAACTATTTTAATATATTTTAATATGTTTTTAATTCGTAAGATAAACCAAAATGACTGTCGTAGGTCTTTCGGTTTCAGCACTGTGTTTCAGAAAATAAAAATCCTTTTAACGGATAACAGTCTACACTGTAAAAATTTCCAAATCAAATTACGGTGGCGTCCAGAGTGCAGTATCCGTAAAATTCATTTTACTGTAAAATCCATTTTTACCGTAAATTTTTTTGCACTCTATACGGTTTAGTTATTACAGTGATTCAGTGATCTTACAAAAAAATTTACTGTAAACTCTACGTTTATTATATTCTTTTTGTTTCGTAAAACTTTACTGTAAAAAGTACCGACATCCTGAATGTCTGTACTTTTAACCGTAATTTGATCAAGAATTTTTTATAGTGCAAATGTTTATGAAAGGAAATGAATAATAAATAATTACAAAAAATTCTAAGTCAGCCAACCAAATGTGCATTTTAATTATATTGTATTTTCCCCTAATTTTAATCGAACTCTACTGTCGGATAGCTGGAAGATCATTTTTCAATTAATTGTAATTAATTTCCAACTATTCTTTTTGTTCTAAGACTCATTACAATGAATTAAAAATTTTGCAGTTTAACATTCAACTTACCACGATCATGTCCTTAAGCCAACAGCAAACATTTTGTTTTAATCTGAAGACTAAATAAATAAAATTTAAACACTATTTATATGACGTTTCCTCGAGGACTAATAAATATGATGGGACAGGAAATTCTTAATGACCACGTGCCATATTTTGATTGCTAATACAAATAGGAATTTTCAGAGTTATTTGTTACATATTTGTAGCAAGAAACGTAACGTTTGTGTCAGCTAGGGGTGACCTGTAAGTTTAAACATCGGTTTTGGATACATGATTCGTGATTAAAAGATATAAAACATTATCCAATTAAAATATTCTTATAAGCAGAACAATTATGTCAAAAGGTTCTATTGCCATCAAGTTAATCTTTGGATATTTTTAAGGTCTGTTGATCCGTGTAATATAAATGCGAATTAGTACAATTACAAAAACTTCCAGAAATGCATCTAAGAAAAAAACCAATGTCTAAGGAATTTTCTTACGTTTAAAATTGCTTTCAAAAGTATGTATAAAGCTAAGCTTTAATATTTCAAAATTTATTGCGTTTATAGGCTACGCGGAGATAAAATGAAGGCAGTATGTGAAGCTTAGTCCAAATCTATTTCGGTTCTTTTTGAGATACAGGATCTTATAAAGAGCATATTGGTTTTCCAACTTTGATTTCTGGTAGCCTTTACTTGGCTGAAAAAATAAGCAGGATGTGTACTAGTTTTTAAATAAGATCGAGATACGTCTTGTATGAACACGAAAATGGCACTAATTCTTTTTTCATTATAGGCTAGGCGGAGATAAAATGAAGGCAGTATTTGAAGCTTAGTCCAAATCTATTTCAGTTCTTTTTGAGATACAGGATCTTATAAACAGCATATTGGTTTTCCAACTTTGATTTCTGGTAGCCTTTACTTGGCTGAAAAAAATAAGCAGGATGTGTACTAGTTTTTAAATAAGATCGAGATACGTCTTGTATGAACACGAAAATGGCACTAATTCTTTTTTCATTAAAGCAAGTTAAACCACTCCCTTTTAGGGGATTTTATTACGATAAGGCCTTCAAGATACAAAACAGTAACTAGAAATTACTGCAAAGACCTAATCCCATACATTATATTTTTCGCCCTTCTATATGTAGAAATATATTTTGGTAAAATTACCGTACTGTATAGTCATGATATCTTTTGTAAAAAAAAAAAAAAAAATGGTTAATAAAACCGAAATATTCGGTATTGAAATCATTCATTTGGCAATTTTTCATTGATTATAACAACTTATAATAATTTGGCATTGATTATAACAACTAACGGTCCCCTTTAATAGAACTGTACCCATCTACAATTTAAAAACCTATCATAAATAATCCCTTGTTTCGGCTTTTAACGGAACGATAGGTTTTACCGCAATGGCTTGATGAACATCCAAAATAGAATGAAAGCACACGTCGTACTTTTACCAAGCCATTTAGGTCAATCCTAGATTCTATAGGTAAAATTTGGACATAGAATTCCATAGAAAAACATAGAATTCCATTAGATTTTCACCAACAATTTCAAAATTTATTATATGATTTTCTTTTTAATTTAAGAACGAATAAATTTTTTTATCATTATCATAATTATTGGTTTCGATTTTGTTTTTCATAATATGGATTAATGTTTAAATTTTATTAGCGTGTCAGGCGTAAGAAAGATTATGTTGAAAAGCTCCGCTTAAAAATTCATTTGAAAATTTTTAAGTACAGCTTATTTGAAAACTTATGAACTTATTATTTAACTATGAATTGAAATGCGGAGATTTCTCTCTTCAAGAGCAATGCCCAGGTTCAAGGTCATTTCTCTTATCTTTATGATTTAAATAGAAAACAAAGTTTTCTTATTTTCAATACCAAGAATAAATAAGTAAAAAGAAAACAGAATTTTTATATATATATGTACTATAAATCCCACTATCCTCTATTTCTGCTTCTATTTTCATACTTTACATCTGGCAAACTGGTTACGAAAATATTTTTAAATAATTTTTACAAGACTTCAGTAAGTAAAAATACGTTAAATTTTTCTTGAATTCCTATTTTGTATTTTCTGTTTTATTTTGAGTTAGTTTTTTGCTTGATTTGTTTTATTTTCATTTCGAATTTTTTTAGTGCTCCTCACACTATTGTGTTGATATATTTTGCTTTGCTACATTAGTTCAATATTCGAAAGCACTTTTTTTTCCGGATCTAATTGTGTGTGCCGATAACAAAACATTATTTTGTGTTCTGGTATTTTTATTTATTTTTTTGCTACTTTTTTTAATTTTAATATTTTTAAAATAAATATATCTATTAATTTTTTTTCGCTTTCAAAATAATTTTTTTTCTTGTTTTCTTTGTATTTTTATCACATTGTATGGGTTCTATGTTCTTGCAGCCTATGCTTATTATATATATATATATATATATATATATATAACGCTAGGTTATCCAAGAGTGCTAAAAAGGTGAGGTCCAGGGCTAATATCCTGCTTGCCCCATTTTCACAACAGCTCTAATATCAGATATCATTCTTGAAAAGAATATTAAAAATTCCTCTAAACAGAACTACAATTCTTCAGGCGACAAAGAAGCAATGTGTTCTATTCTATTCGCAGAGTGTTGAAAATCGATTTAAACGCCTCATGCTTGAAACAATGGTATTCGAAGGGAGTCATAAATCATTGACCATGGAATAAAGTGAGGGTGTTGCACCTTTTAGGAGAACAATCGAAGTTCCACTGTGATAAACAAAGGAACTTTTATTTCTTTCGAAGAAAATTTCTAATCACGTACGTTTTTATATAAATATGCTTTAAATGATCCTGAGCTATTGTAACTGTATTTTATAACAAAGAAGTATAATTTATTTCATCCTATTTTTATAAAGAAAAATAGCCAATAACACTGTTATTGAACAATTTATTACAAGTCGTGATAAAGAACTCGGGGGATTAAACTAATTTGTTGGTACAAATGTGATAAAATTTAGTTTGAGATATTGTTTAATAATGTTCACCGTACTCACAGACATTTTATACAGTTTTCTGTTTATATTAAATAATAGATAAATCTAGCTTCGATTGAAAATTTGAAAACACTATATTTTTTTAAAGATTAAGTGAAATCGAGCATAAAAAAGAAAGGAAATAAAATTTAAAAAAAAATCACACTTGACTAAACTAGAAAAAAATTCTGGCAAAATTACCGTACATACACTGTACAAAAATTCAGAAACTAATTATTAATCGACAAATATGATAAAATTTAGTTTGAGATATTGTTTAATAATGTTCACCGTACTCACAGACATTTTATACATTTTTCTGTTTATATTAAATAATAGATAAATCTAGCTTCGATTGAAAATTTGAAAACACTATATTTTTTAAAGATTAAGTGAAATCGAGCATAAAAAAGAAAAGAAATAAAATTTAAAAAAAAAATCACACTTGACTAAACTAGAAAAAAATTCTGGCAAAATTACCGTACATACACTGTACAAAAATTCAGAAACTAATTATTAATCGACAAATATGATAAAATTTAGTTTGAGATATTGTTTAATAATGTTCACCGTACTCACAGACATTTTATACATTTTTCTGTTTATATTAAATAATAGATAAATCTAGCTTCGATTGAAAATTTGAAAACACTATATTTTTTAAAGATTAAGTGAAATCGAGCATAAAAAAGAAAAGAAATAAAATTTAAAAAAAAAATCACACTTGACTAAACTAGAAAAAAATTCTGGCAAAATTACCGTACATACACTGTACAAAAATTCAGAAACTAATTATTAATCGACAAATATGATAAAATTTAGTTTGAGATATTGTTTAATAATGTTCACCGTACTCACAGACATTTTATACATTTTTCTGTTTATATTAAATAATAGATAAATCTAGCTTCGATTGAAAATTTGAAAACACTATATTTTTTAAAGATTAAGTGAAATCGAGCATAAAAAAGAAAAGAAATAAAATTTAAAAAAAAAATCACACTTGACTAAACTAGAAAAAAATTCTGGCAATATTACCGTACATACACTGTACAAAAATTCAGAAACTAATTATTAATTGACAAATGTGATAAAATTTAGTTTGAGATATTGTTTAATAATGTTCACCGCACTCAGACATTTTATAAATTTTTTCTGTTTATATTAAATAATAGATAAATCTAGTTTTGATTGAAAATTTAAAAACGCTATATTTTTTTAAAATTAAGTGAAATCGAGCATAAGAAAGAAAGGTAATAAAATTTTAAAAAAATCACACTTGACTAAATTATAGTTTAAGAGTATTCAATTATAGTAGAATTTCAAATTTTTTGTCATTTTTATTGTTTCGTAATATTTTGTACACTGTATATAGTGTAATATAATAGGAATAATAATAAAAACATACTATTCACAGGGAAAAAAATCTGGCAAAATTACCGTACACACACTGTAAGAAAATTCGGAAACTAATTATTAATCGACAAAACTGCTTCCGAAATTCACAGAGAATTTCATTTAATAGTATGATTCCGGATAACTGCAAAACATTTTTTTTTATTTCCATAACATTGTTTGAAATAAAAGAAATCATCAATGAAACTAAATCGCATTGACGCTGATTTAGTTTCAGAGGCTTTCAAAATATTCAGAAGCGTTTTTGAAAAGGACAAGCACCTTATCTCTCTTATATTAGCACCTCTTATATTTAGAAACGTTTCGAGATTTTTTTTAACAATTTAATTACCATTTCTGGTAAAAATCTATATATATATATAATTATGGTAATAAAAACAAAAATATCCGGCATTTAAACCATTCATTTTGTAATTTTTCTGTTCATATGGTAACGGTTTACCGGAAATTCTTGTTTCCAAAATTATAGTTTTTATTAATACGCATTAAAAAAAAAAATAAAATTGAAAAGTAAATTGAACTGAATACATAAAATACTGAAAACATTCTCTAAGATATGATAAAAATAGCACATTTTACCACATTTACTAAATTTAGCGTATTACAAAACTATATTTTATTACTAATTTTAAAATAATCATTACCCAAAGCGCTTCGGTAAAAATTAAACTTTACAACTGTTTTTGACGTTCCCACAGGCCAGAAACGCTGTAAATTTTACTTTATTCTGGTATTTTTGATCATGCTTTCTTTCTTTGTGTTATATTAGTTTGCCGCCCGCCTTAATGGTGCACTGAGAGATAAAAAAAGTTCTAAATTAATTTTAAACTTTACTAATATTTTGTAGAACCTGATATAATATAATTTGTAACGATTAAATGATGACAGCAAAATGATAGCTATATGTTTGCCTGTCTAATCGTGTTGCGTCAAGAAATAAAAAAACAGCTATTTCAAAATTATTTTAATTTTTTTCGAATATTTTTATGCGATATAATATAAATTGTAGAATGAAGCAAAATCATTGCAATAAGTTCAACCAATTTTATCACGTTGCGTTAAAAAAAAACAGTAGTTTTAAATTTATTTTAAGATTTTAAAAATTTTCGTACGTAGCAAAATATAAATTATTTAAACTGTAGAATAAACAAAACGATTGCCATTATATTGTTGGCCTCATCGCAGGGCACCAAGAAAAATAAGTTTTAAACTCGAACTTAGCAGGGCTAAATCTAGGTATGTAACAATTATTAACTCAATAATGTAAAGTCACATGAAAGGGCAACGACAAATAAAAATAAATGCTATGTAGTAAGTTCTTATTCCTTTGACTAATTTGTAATAGGTCTAAAAATTTAAATAAAATTTTGTAGTGATAAATTGCTCCTCTAAAACATGTTTTCGTGATTTTTATGTTTAAGTAACGGAAATGTCAGTAGAACGAAAAAAATTTGTAGCAGCACTGAAAAAGAGGTAAGTAAGATAACATATTTTGGCCACCAAAAGTGATTTTAAAATTGTTTTACAAGTACTTATTTTGGAAATTTACATACTGTACATGCGAACCACTTGAGAAAAAATGTGCCTTTTTTTACGTGTATTAATAAATAAATTCCTGGTTCAGTAGTTAATAAATAAATCAATTTTCTTAAATAATTAATTTTATCTTATTTAAGTTGCATAGAGTTTACTTACCTTCAGTTAGTCTGAGGTCTGACTTTTTACTCAATTCAGAACTGCTGCTTTTGCTATCATGAGTCTATTGAAAAAAAAAATTAAGTAATATTTTTTAAAAGTTAACATAAAAACAAAATAAATAGAGTAATTATCATACATTAAACCAGATAATATAAAAAACCTATAGAACATAAACTGTTTTATACAATGCGGGGAATTTACAGTAAAAATAAAAATTTTCTTATAACAAATGTCTCAAGACAGTAACGTTTTTGCTCGAAAATTCCTTTGCAGCTTTACAGGAATTAGAGAAACTATAAAATATTCTAAAAAAAAAATTCGATTTAAATTTTATTGATAAAACAAGTTCATTGCAGGCATGGGAGTAGTATACCTATCTCATCTTATGTAAGAAATTATACTAGACATATTTAACAATGATTAATAACTAATTATTAATCATAGGAAAAAACCTATGATAAATAAGTTTTGCAGTATGATTATAATCTGTAATTTACAAGTTTTAATATAGTAATATTTTAGTAATAAATAAGTTCTTATAAGTATTAATAATTTTTCCCTGCTAAAATCTGTAAAAAAGAATTTTTTTTAAGTAAATCTTCCTTTTTCGCTACACTGTAAAATCTAATTGCGAAAAAAAGTACTAGAATCCTGAGTGCCGGTATTTTTTACCGTAAACTTTTACGGAACAAAAAATCTGATAATGCGTAATTTTTACAGTGACATTTACCGTAGAATCACTGTAATTAAATAAATATTATTGTAAAAATTACAGCAAAAACGAAATTTTACGTTAAAAAATAATTTCACAGTAAAATAAGTATTACAAATGTGGTATTCAGTGCGCCAGTACTTTTTTCCGGAATTTTCTACAGTGTATATCAATCAAAGGAACAAAAAAAAAAAAAAAAAAAAAAANAAAAAAAAAAAAAAAAAAAAAAAAAAAAAAAAAAAAATACCAAGCATATTTTGTGGTTTGTTTTGGCAGCTTTACAGGAATCTCAACTCAAGGAGCTAACTCAAGGATCTAGATCAACAAGCTCTATATTTCAAGGTGTCATCTTATCTATTTCCTTCACATATATATTTAAATAACCGAATTATTTATTTCAAGACTTAGTAAAATTTGATGGGTGTTAAACAAAATTTGGCTTAAGATGATATTAAGTAAACTTGACTGGAAATAGGCCGAAATTAAAGCCTAAAGATCCAGTCTCTTATTTATCAGTGTTGATGGAAGTTATTGTAGCCTAATGAGCCAAATTAACTAGCTTTATATTTTAAAGTGTCTAATTTACTAATTTATCTATCTTTTTTAAAGATACATGTCTAAATATACTAGCTGTATATTTCACAATATTATAAAGATTGATGTGTGTTTTTCTTGTATATTACATATACTACTAGGAGGCTTCTCCCCATGCTCGCTGGCGCTCGCCAACCCCCAGAACTGCTTTCGCAGTTCATTTCGGATTGTTTCGCAATCCAACGCTCGCTTTGCTCGCTCATTGGATACGTTCTTAATGTCTAGCTTTTGTATACTTTTTAGAATACCGAAGTTCCGAAAACTTTTCACTGTAGAAAATTCCAAACATGTACATTTCAATATTAATTTGAAATTGCAAACAGTTCACATATTTTGCTTAATCACACTATTCTAAATTTCAGTTGTTGAGAAAATTAACAGTTGTAAGTTTTGTTTTAAAGTCTTTTCCACCAGAGGGCTAAAGCCATGTGTTGTAAAACAATATGAAATAGTAGTCTGCCACTGAACGCCGGATGTAAAGCATCGGCTTCGATGAAGATAATTTTGTATTTTTAATTCTCTGAAGGACTCCACTCTAATAATATGGAATTTGTAAAATAAATGTATATATTTTTGATTGTTGATGAAGCCCATCATTTTGTGTTTTCATCAGTGTTCAGAAGCAGAACAATTATAAGTTTTTTATTATATCGCAAAAATTTAAAATGTATAAAAAACAAAGAAAATAGTAAGAAAATGAGTATAGTCATAGAAAAAGTTAAAATTATAATATAGTATTTGTCAGTTAAAATAAAACTTTTTGTTTAAGTCATTGTTAACAATTCAAATTTCTCCGAGGCAATTCTAAAGTATAAATTAAGGTAGTATTGTTAAGTTGAAACACAATATTTTTAGTTTTGATGTCAACAATACAATTCAATTTTTCACAAAAACGATTGTTTCCATTGTTAAGTTCAATGTCAACAATTCAAATTTTTCTGAGGCAACTCTTAACCTCTAAATATTATTTTTTTTATGTACACATTTCTAAATGTCAGTATTCAACCACAAAACAACTTAAAGTCCTCAAATTTAGCATGAAGTTGTAAAATGTAATGAAAGAGGGTCATAGCAATAATGAAAGTAGAAGTAAAGTTAGTACTGTAAAATTAAAACAATATTTTTAATCAATGAGCCAAGTTCTTCAAGAAGCAGTTGTAGAAGTAGGTTGTTTATTTAAAACTTTTTATAGAATTTCTTTAAGAACACAATTGTTAATTTGGGCATTTGGCGATACAACACTTTTAGAATTGAAGGATTTGTTACGTCAAGCGCTCAGGTATCATAATTTTGATCTAGTTGCGCTTCTATGTCATTTTGATTTATGTAGCTAAGTTAACTTTCAAAAAATTCTATGGCTGGCAACAGCATTTATATTTTTTAAGTAGTTTATTTTTATTTATTTTAGAATTCGTTCTTTTTTTTAGCGAAATGTTTTTTAACCTAACAGAATTCTTTGCCGACTGTTCTCTGTATATATGAGGAAAATAAAGTAATTATTTAAGTGTTGTGAAAAGAATCTTATTTAGTTGTAAAAAGTACTTCTATATATATACACACACATTGTGAGCCTCACACTATTGTATTGATATATTTTGCTTTGGTTATATTAATACAATGCATAATACAATATTAGAAACCATTCTAATTTGAGTATATGATCGTGTGAGCTGACGACTAGTTTACATCTTTTTCGTTTTCCTCTGGCTTTTTAATTTTTCCTTTAATTTTAGTAATTTTTAAAAAAAACTTCAATTATTTTTGCAATAATTTTTATTTTTCTGTTTTATAAAATAATTTTCATTCTTTCATTTCATTCATAAACTCATTATAATAAGTTCTTCAGATAATATTGTTTATTTGGCAGAGTTGTTGAACGTTCTTGTACCCCAGGGAGATCCAAATTAACTAACAATATACTTCAAGATCTCTACTTTTTCTATGTTTTAAGGATAAATATTTCAATTGATTTGCTATATATTACAAAACTTTATAGAGTTTGATAATTGTTCAAATCCGTGTATGTGCTTTAAAAAGAAAAACAGATATGCTCAAGATTAGGCGTGTAACAGACAAAAATGAAATCTTACAGATCCTGTAGTTTGTTTGGCTGCGTTGATTAACGTTGTTGTTGCGTATGGCGCCAAATCACAAGGTAAATCTCTTTTGTAAAATATAGCCATACTATGTGTGTCTACTTCCGCATAATCAGGAGCACAAACGCTATAAAGAAATACACAAAAAATAAGTAATTCGAAAATCATTAAGAAATACTTTTATCTCCATCACACTTTATAAGTTCAATGCAAAAAGTAGTTAAAATAAATATGACCTCCGTTTCTATTGAAAGTAATTTCTCACAAAGTCGGATAAACCATAAAAAAGGAATTATTTACCTTTAAAAAGAAAATAAAGTTAAACAATTTTGGATTTTATATCATATTTTATCAGATAATACAACAATTTTGAAGGATTTTTTTCCGGTTTGATAGTGCTTTGACATAAGGTAAAAAAATCTACTTTTTCTTATGAGAGTTAACTCAATTTCTTTTATTAAATATAATTTAATGTACATTAGTTATAAATGTAGTAGCTTTATAATAGTAAAATAGTAAATCTTTTAAATCAAGTATTAATGCAAAACTGAGAAAAAGGAATGATCAAAATTATTAGGTTATGGTAAAATTTACCGTGTTTTTAGGTTTACGGGAATTTTAAAATGCTCGGAAAATTTTACAGAAGCTCTTTGTTAATAATTTTGGTAAAATTAAAAAAAGAAAAATGGTTTTATAATATGTGATAAAATTTGGTAAATGTAGTATGATTAGATAATTTTATCATAATACATTAGAGCATGGCATAGAACCATTTTTTCGATTAGATTTACTTTTCTGTTTTGCCTCTTTTACTCAAGTGTGGTAATAAGAGCTATAGTTTTGAAAACCAGAATTTCTGGTAAATCGTTACCATACGAATGGCAAAATTTCCAAATTAATGGTTTAAATACCGTTAATTTGCTTTTATCAACCAGAATCATGCTTCTTTTTTTTTTATCAAAATTGAATTGAATTTTTTAAATTACCATACAATAATTTTACCAGAATTTTCTTCTTCTTTTCATTCTGTAAAGTCTACTTTTTATTAAATGTTAGGCAATAGGAACTATAATCTTGGAAAACAGAATTTGCTGCAAAACGGTTACCATATAAACGGAAAATTACCAAATCCGTATCCGGAAATCCGCACCGGTTTAAATACCGTATATTTTGGTTTTTAATACCATAATTAGGGCTCTTTTTACCTGAAATGTCATTGCCATATAGTACAATAATTTTACCAGAAATTTTTTCTTTAAGCATTGTTACTCGGTAAATTAAACAAATATATTTGTTTCAGGCAGCTATTTTTTACAATTACTGCAAAAATTAGTGAGAATCTTTTAGAGTTGCTTGTGTATTGTACATGTTTCAAATTTTATTTTTTAATTTCTATTTAAATTTCTTCCTGAAAACAATGTAGCATATGCCTTGAAAAAAAAATCCTCGTTTCAGAACTTAAACATGACGTCAAAATAATTTTCTGAACACTAATTGATCTAGATAAAAAAAAATTTAAATAGACAAATGTATAAAAATATAAACTTTTATTAAATCATGTTCAGAAAAAAATGGAATCTATGAAGCAAAATATATTACAAGAAATTTTAAATAAATAAACAGCTAACAATATACGTCTCCATCGTAGTTAAATAGAATAAATTCCATATAATAAATTCCATCGTAGTTAAATAGAAAATAAATTTCAAAACACGGTGCCGAAATTTTTTTGTCTTTATGAATTAACTTTAATTAAAGCTTCATTTTCTCACTTCTATAAAAACCGGTGTATGAAAAAAAGTTCTTTAAAATTACAGGGCTGGACTGCGATATAGCGATAAGTCAAATATTTTAGGGTATATTTTTACAGTATTTATTTTTGTATTGCTTCCATATACATGCCATTTACCGCCATTTTCACTATACTAATAGCACAATCTAAGGAAACATCTTATAGCCTATATGGAAATCAAGGAATTTTTTACATAAACACTTTCTGAAAATATACTTTCGAAAACATTTCGAAACCGTAGCTTATCATTATATTGCCCAAAACTTTAAATTGGTATTAATATATGTGTTATAGATTGAAAATACCATTTATCTCAAAAATAAATGCATACATAACGAACTGTTTTGCCCTTCTTTCTTTGGACCGATATATATCTTTCAATCTTTCCGATAAAAAAAGATTAAAAACACAATATTGTTCAAAAGTTTCCAAGAAATAAACCAATTCAATTGAGCAAAAAACTTTCCTATCCGAAATATAAACGAAAATACAATGTAAATAAAATATAAAAAAACATTCTAAAAGGCAAAATATTTAAATCCTATAATCTTTGCATCCTCCGTCCGATATGAATCATTTCCTTCTCGATGCTACTTCAATACAAAGCATTATAGGCGATTCCAACAAAGATAAAGACTACACAGCCTATACTTGATGGCTAGGGGGTGGAGAGCATTTTTTTCTTTCGAATCCGAATAAATTAAAGAAAAATTTCATTTTTATCTTATACGAGATCATTTTTAATGGTAAAAGGGAGGAGGGGCATAAAGAAAAAAAAGTAATATTTTGAGTTGTGACACGAATGAATGAGTTTAGATTCTTTACCTGTAATAATTGTGCTCCATAGAAGAATCTGGTTTTTCTAGTAATTTGGATTCACTGATGCTGTTGGCGTTGCTCGCATGAGATGGGTTGATCCATAATGTCTCACAAGAATTTACCTCCCTGTAATATAATTTAGTTTTATAGTTTTATTTAATAACTGCAACCATGTACAACGTCAATATATATATATATAT